CTATTTCGTGTTTTAAAAAGGATAAAACAGGTATTTAAAAAAGAATGAATTTCTAGGGTGTTACAACACATGTCAAATCCTGGTGTAGTTTTTTCCCTCCAAAACTTCTCTTTCTTTTTATTTGCTAAAATCTTCTTTGAGAATTTTATTATAATATAATTATCACAATATTACTCCAAATCTTTTATATATATGAATCTTCTATTATAAATACATTTCTTTATAGCTATTACTCTGTACGTTCCTCATATCTATTAATAATAGAACAATTCATCATAATAAATATTACTATGTGTAGGGAATTTTTCAAACTCAACCTTGAGCCCCACTGTGATCATACATTTAAGCATGGTGGTGTCCAAAGGGAACGAATCTAGAGATAAAAGAGTCGCTAACAAGTTTTAGGAACTTATAAACCGTTCACGGGTGTGAAGGTTACACCCTATTCATGATCACGGAGATCGCTAACTCCATAGTGGTCCGGAATCATAACTGGATATTCGGGGATGATGGTACCAATCCAACCTAAAAGAGATTGAACCCGCCCTAAATTGACCTCTACTTAATTCTTATGGTATTCACGTGCGCTTTCTGATCAACATACATACATCAAGTTAATCCTAAACCTATTTAATCTATGTTGGTTGATTATTGATGCACAATCAAATCTATTATTGGAGATCACTTGAATTAAAATCATATTAAGCCTAAATCAAATTATTAGTTATCTTATTAGGCGTGATTTCAAGTACAAATTGCCTTTAAACCTGCAAGAAAGGGTGTGATCAAGCAATAACAATCAATTATGAATAATCAAGTAATGTAATAATTAACACAACAATCATCATCATAATCACAATCATCAAAACATGATTAGTAAGATCCTAGGCATGATACTAAACGAATTAATAACAAATCCTAACATGTCACTAAACATCATAATCAAAGCATTATCCTTAACATGATACTAGAAATCATAAAAATATCCTAACATGATACTAGGAAGCATGATATTAGAAATATTAGCTAACACCTTAAACATGATACTAGGAATTAAAATCAACATCCTAACTTGATACTAGGAATCAAAACCAACATCCTAATATGATTTCTATATCAAAAGAATGATTAAGTAATCGAATTACTCACTTTTATGCCTCGTACCTCTTTCTATCAAAATAATACACGCATTAGTAAACTTCAAGAAAGATTAAATCAAATAAGAATTGAAATATAAATTTGGGACCAAACCCTCAGAACTATCAAACTTTCACGTCGAGGTTGAAGGCAACTTTGAGATTGGTTAGGAGTATTCGAAGCTCGTGGTGGAGGTATGGTGTTTGATTAGGGAAAAGTATCAAGGATGTATTAGGTAGTGTTTAGGCTAGGCTAAGAAAAGAATCAAAAGAGAGAGAAAGAATTAGAGAAGGGATTTGATAATGATTGTTGGTAATCAAGCTTGTTGATGATTAAAAACGGGATGAAACGACCTCTATATATAAGAAAAAAGAGGGTCGAAGGATCAGAAAAGAGTTTGAATTTGAATCGGAATAAAACAGGTTCCATCGCGGAGCGACAAGTCCATCGCGACGCGACAGACTTGTCGTGGCGCGTTAGTCAACAATTTTTGCGGTTTTTGTTTTTATCATGTCTTTTGATCTAGAAATCAGAACAAGATAAATAATATATAGTTGGAAAGCTTTGGAAGTCTACTTTTCAACCCAATTAAAATCAGATTGATATTGTTTATAGACTAAAAGATATTATTGAAATAGTGTAACAATGTCAGTTTTGGATAGTGTTTGGTATTTTAATCTTATCTTTTTCTTTTCTAATCGGAATTGGGATTATGATATATCATTGGAAAGATAATTTCAAGGGAAATCCAGCCATCTAAGATTTGGATAAAAATTATGAGTCACAAAAATCATATCTAAACGTCTTTAAATTTGAATAAAATAAGGATTTTCAATAGAGAAGTTTCATTCAATTTAAAACTCTTTGATCTTTATCTTTCGAAAAGGATAGATTAGAACCTTATAGAGACTTCTAGAAGTTCCTAATGAATCCTAATTAGTTATTATTATGATTAAGGTATTTGGACCCTCCATATGATCATTGGGTCGTAGGTAGGATGAACCAAGGTCCGGTTTGGGCTCGGTTTAGTAATTTGGCCATAACTTATTCGTTTTAAGTCGGATTTGGACTTATAATATATCGTTGGAAAGATATTTTCAATCTCCATCCAACTACACAATAATCGGACCAGGATCATGGACCAAAACAAACTGGTTTGGACGTTTTTATAAAGAGAACACGAAATGAATGATTTTTAAAAGACAAGAAATGAATGATTTTGGCTTAAAAAGCACGAAATGAATGATTTTGGTTTAAAACATTTAAGGAAAGGTTAAAAATGGTCAAGGTTAAAGGGAAATTTATGAGACTCTTCAACTCTCCACCGAACTCGATAATCAAAGACGTGAAAGGTACTCATCATTGAGTTTGATTTTTTATGGAGACACAATCAGGTGTCTACACTATGTATGTCATATCTTTAATACATCATATTTTATTCCTTCAAATGATTAATATATTTTAAATAAGGTAATTTTGTAACAATATTTAAAATGATGAATCTATTAAATAATAGATTCGTACTACACAAATTATTATTATTATTATTATTATTATTATTATTATTATTATTATTATTATTATTATCATAAAGTGGGAATTTTTATACTTTAATTTGTTTATCGCCTAATTCTAAACGAAGAACATAACAAAATGAAGGAAATTTAACAACATAGCATAACATTATAAACACATTATCTATGTATGTGATCATGTAAGAAAATTTGATTAATTTAAATTTTATTCTTTTTTATTTGTATCTCCAATACTTTCATATTATCATATTTTAGGAAAAAGAAATTGACCAAATATTATTAAATTGGGGTTATTATTCTTGCCTATTAGGTGTAATACATAATTTTAAATATTTATTTGGTTAATACAAAGAAAATTGATACTAAATTATTATTGAATTTTAAAACGCTCACATGGTCTAACATGTAATTTTAACTAGATTAGTGTCCGTGTGATGCACGGTAGTAATAATCTTTTTTCCCATAATTAATTTTTGATACAATATAAAAATGAGGCAACTCATGTGTGATAAATAAATGCAATGCATATAAGAAAGATGAAATAATAAGGCAAAAATTATTAAAACTACAATTGAGAAAAAAAAATTATATTATTTTTGATTAGTTGTGTTGAAAATATTTAAAAAATAGTATACATTATAATACATTAATGATGCATGTTATTCCCAATAAAACTATACAATGTAGATGTCGTATGACTTTTTTAATAATGAATTAATTTAGTTAAAAAACCTATACAAAGTACTTCCAGATATGTGCTAAGTAAGAATAATTTTTAAAAAAACTTAAACCTGGCATCATATATTGTATTGGGGGAAATTTTTAATGATAGCAACATATGTCCAAAATGATCAATGTAAGCATGACTTGTTTTAGTCATAATTAATAGATTTTTTGAAGTAAAAAAAAAATTTATAAGCTGGTAAAATTATTACAGAAATATTTAATACAAAACTAACTCAATTATTATTATTTCATAAGATTTCAAATCAATACCATGAATATAAATATATTTTTTTTCCATTGAACCCGACCCACTATTGTACAACTATATAATGGTAATTTAAATGCTAATATTATTGTATTTTTGGCTCCGTTATTTTATACTCTCCACCATAGATCAACCTTATAAATTATAACTTATTCTCCGTTAATTAAAAGCTCTCAAAATCTTGTGTAACTATTTTAAGTAAATAAAAAACGAAATAAAAAGGAATACAATTATTATAAAAATAATATATAAGAATAGGAAGAATATATTATTATAATTGTATTATACAAATATTTCAAAAATAAAAGATTTTCGCTATAAAGGGAGGGAGAGTTTTGGAGGGAAAAAACAACACTAAGAAGTGACACGTGTCATTCCTAATGTCTGTTTTAATATTATGTTATTGATTGATACACACATTTATCTAATCGACTCTATCATTATATTTCATGTTTCATTTCATTAGTTACACAAAATAACAAGATAATAAATGATTTTTAATACAATTTTTTTTTCTTTTATTGATTAAATGTAGTAAAATTACCGTGCATGACACGGGACCTAATCTACTTGGATAATAAACTTTAATTGGGATTATTAGAAATAAATCCTACATATTTGAAATTATTAAAATACATTTTTCCTTATTAAAATGGCAAATACAATTCACTTTTTCAACAAACCAATAGCAATTTAATTATAATATATACTCCTTGCTCTTGATATTATATAAAAGTCAACATTTTCTTTCAAAAAAAAGAAGTCAACATTTAAAATATTATTATTACTATTATCAATCAATCATTCAAAAGTATAAATTGTTTGTACCTAGCACAAATCATCAACTGTAGGAGATTTTCCTCCTTTTTTTTTTTCCTTTTTCCTTTTTTTTTTTTTTTTTGGTTGGGTATTTAAAAACATTAAGATGTCTAACAAGTAAGTTCATACTATAAACAATGGTCATATTCATATATAATAATATTATATATTATTATATAATATTCATAAAAAAATATTTAATTTTTAATATGATCTAAGTATTTCTTAGTCCGTAATTGTTATCCAAATTTAATTTTTAATTTTAATTAGAAATCAAAATAAAGGCAAAGGGAGCATCATCCTTTTAGCGTAGGTCCCTTAACAAAAAACGTGAAATACGAAGTACATGATATGCAATTTGTCAAGTCAATGGTAAAAAATTCAATAATATAGATTGTGTCAATGTGCCATACATAAATATTGAATCCTGACTAGTTGATGACCCACAAGTAATTTGTTCAACCCAATAAGCATAACATGAACTGGCAAAACACAACCAAATGACGTTTCCAAGTACATAGTCAAAGATTAAAATGCTCACTTTCATTCATTCTTTGATTTCATACATATACATATCAAGAGTAAGATCATGATTACATTTTGTCATTTTGACCATCTTTACATCATGATTTAGGATCTAAAATTTGTTATTTAAACAAAAAAACAAGGTTGGAAAAAAGGGGGATAAAACCAATTGAAAAAAAATGAAGAAATAAGTTAGTTCAACAAAAACACTAAGTGGGCACCAGAAGTGCCTATCTTCAGGTTTTACACCCCATTATAGTTATGCACAGGGCTTAACAATGTTCAGTAGCTTAGGCCGCAGCCATCTGTGTCCTTGGACTTGGCAAGCCCATGTATGCAAGCCTTGGAGAGACATGAACCTTTGGACTAGGCCTTGGAGAAGGAATTGGGCCATATGATCTAGTTGTAACACGTGGTGAGAGGTTGACTTGTTCGAGTGCCTGGGATTGTAATTCCAAGGGGTAGTCCCTAACACAGCCAATCCTAGGTCCATTACCAGTGACCCATTTGCAGGACAAGCGTCTGGCAAAGGAGAATGGTTCTGATTCACGGTCATCTTTGGCTTTGGCCTTGACATCAGCTGGTATAGCTTCTTCATTAGTTGCTTCTGTGACATCTTCTGTCTTCTCAGGAGAACTTTCGTCTTCAGGAATTTTAAACGAATCTCCCTCGTTGTATGCATACTTCTGCAGAAGATACAGTTGATACAGCACACTGTTAGCATGTTTTAATCAAAACAGAATTTGTAGCATACAACTTGATGCTTTTTTTGTTATTTACAGATTACAATTACTGATTAAAACCGAGCCTAAGTCATTTATCAATCCTAGGCATGCTTTGTTTTATGTTATTATTTGTAACTGTATCGTGTGATTTATGTTTTCGAGTTAGTACCTTAACATTGGTGAGATCAACATTGTTATCCCTCAGGAAGCTCATGAGCTCATTGAAGTTCTCTTCTGTCGGAAGATAGTGACCGCTGTATGGCCATAAAGCCTGAAAACATAGACATACACATCTTAGTCATTATTCTGTAGATAATCATGTATTGAGTTGACAATTTTAGTACTAATCAAAGTGTACCTCAAGAACCCCTTTTACAGCAATCATCCGTCCAGCAGCAGTCGTAGCAGCACCAGCCAGAAAACTCGAGTGTTGAAACAGACCTTTCTTTTTCTGTCCCACATACAAGGATCTTGATGCACTGAGGACAAATATCCATTTGCAGTCCCCTGCAGTATGAACTAAATTTCCACTTTGTTTGTAAGTAAGCTTCCCATCTTCTACAGTTACTTCGTATGCTTCTCTTTCATTCTGAATTTCAAACAACAACATTGTAAAACATTTATACATGACTAGACTAACACCAAATCAATAGAATAAAACGCAAAAAAAGGAAGAAAAAAAAACTGGATATGTAGGACTAATTACCGGTCCAAGATATTTGATGCATTGCTGCTGCATTTTGGTTCTCGGACATTTCTCAAGATTAACCTCTTTCCCGTCTCCAATATCCAACCTTCATTATTAAAATCGAAGGAAAGGATTAGCAATGGTCAAAAGGTCTGTAAAAACTTGTTAATTTTACATTACTTAAAAATATCTGATTATTAGATTTACAGTATGTTGCAGAAGTACATACCAGTAAAAGAATGGTTGACTGCTTTCGCTTTGAAACCAAACATCATAATAAATATGCAAGTTGTGCCCATATCTATGGCGTGGATCAATCTGTACGAAAAAAAATAGGATAAGAAAATGACTCAGATGATTGATACTTGATAGTTGGTGAGATCATATAACTTTTCAACACTCTAAAAACCAATAATTCTTCAAAATAATTTTTTGTTAATTGTCAGGCTCCAAGTTGATAGAGGTAGTTGGCGGCTAAATGATGGAAATAATTGTAGCATGAATGCATGATTGAGAAATCTTGTTTGTTTGAAATTGTTTTTCTTTTATACTTTGACCCCCATAATTCATGAAAAGCTTAGTTTAAGGCGAGTTTGAGGACTTACAGCTTCGAGCCAATGTCGTAGAGCTAACTTCTGAGCTTTCTCATTTTGAGACAAGCCTTTTCCCACCTGTAGATAAAATTAGCATAACAACGAAGATTTTAGCATTACAGAAGAGCTAATTAACATAACACAAAATTCGTACATCTGAATTATTACTGATATTACCTTGGCAACTCTTGTTTTCGCCCTTGCCCACTTTGCAACAGCAGTTTCTTGTTTATTGTTGTCGAAAAAAGATACAGAGCTCCTCTTAAGCGAAGCAAAATCTAAAGCCTTCCACCTACACACAAATATTCAGATACAACAGATTAATCAATATGCACGAAATATCAGCATATAAAAAGTTGATCATATAGTATTTGTATTTGTATGTTTTCGATACTAACCACAACTCTTCAACAACAACAGCACAATCAGCGAGGTTTCTTCGAGTCCTGTAACTCTTGTACACTTTCTGCAGCTTAACTGCAGCAGCATCAAGCTCAGAAACCGGCCTTGGAGAAAACAGTATCGCGGGCTCAGGAAGAGTGATTGCAGGCAGAGGCTTGTGATTTAATCCATTCGAACTCATTTTACGTGGAGCATTACTAGGATCATACTCTTGTACTAGAGAGTTAAAAGAAGGTGACTTCTCAAGCAGTATTTTTTCCGGCTTGTGATCTTGTAAACTTGAAAAATTCCTAACACCCATTTCTGAACTTTGATCCGTCTCTGCAATTCTTGGTGACTGAGCACTCTTCTTAAAGGATTCAATTCTCTTAAAACTCGCCGTCCTTAATGGAAAGCGCCGTGCCCTTGAAGAAAGACAGCCATTGCAGACTAGATTGAACAAGTTTTGACTCAGAATTTCATGCCAAGCAGAAATCAATATGGAAATTGATAATCCCATTGATTTATATATAATATTTTCTCTAAGAACAATACTTCTGACCTTGAAAAAAGAAATAAATTTAGATTAGAATATGCAAATTGAAGTAGGATAACATAGAAAATTTGCAAGAATATTTTATTGGTCTCACCTGGTTTGCTACACAAAAATAATTAAGTCACGTATTTAGCCTTTTTGACTTATTAAACATGATCTCCACTTCTTTTTTTTTGGTACAACTTTATTTTCCAAAATATCCAATATATTATTCCCTTATTCTTAAATCAGATAATACAGTTTACCCAACAATTTATTCACTAATTTCCTAGCGTGAATAATGAGCCAAACAAAAAACACTTTTTTTTTTCTTTTTACAAAATGTCAACCTTTTTAATTTTTAGGCACGTACTGTACATTTGTACTAGCTCTGTACCTAGGTATTCTTCATTTTTGCCATATTTGGTACCTCGTCCTTCGTATTTTGATTATCATTTTTTTCTTTTAGTGTACTCTATTTTAAACTTTTCATTACATCAATCATTTTTCTGAATTTCCGTACAAACAGTAAAAAATACTCATTATATCAATCATTTTTCTAAATTTCCGTACAAACAGTAAAAAATACTCGGTATTATACATCGACCAAATGAATAATAAAATTTGATATCATTCAAACATGAACATATATGATCTAATTAACAAACCAAGAGGGCATTAATTATCACATCAAATAATATTTAGAGCAAAATTGTGCAGCGCCAATCAAGCAAATTAAACAACAATATTGTCAATATAGCAAAGTTAACACTTAACAACCACCACCACCAACACCAAATATCAAGACGTACGAATTAAACCCTTTTCTTAAAAGTTGTATTTTCAAAAGACCAATAAAAGAAATGGAAGATAGCAACAAATTAACTCCCGGACGCCTATACCAATATCCGAGATCAATTATTCTCACACACATGAACAGCTTATCATATCGCTAAACTTAAACTTAATAGACGACATCAATTAAAAGTATAATACCTCGAATATCTTTAGAAGTGCTTCACTAAATCGAAACTCTATAACTCTCTTCTTGCTTAGCTTCTCCTCTTGAACTCAAACTTGCTTTAGAACTATGACCATACTAAAGACTTATATAGTCATATATTTATATACATAGAGTTAAGCTTAATATTAGAAAATTATATTCCAAAGATTTGGTTGAAACAAAGTCTACTAAATAGAACACGGCAGCAAACTAAGCAACCAAAAACTTTAAGGAAATCTCGTGGTAAGACGGTAAGTTTGAAGAGAACAAAGACTAGACTAGAAAATTTGGAAAAAAAACAAGTGGAAAATTTTGACGAGTTTTAAGGGTTTAATAATATGAAGTTAAATAAAATCATAAAGGGTTCAAACCCACGAGCTAGAAGAAAAAAAAAGAAAAAAATGGAAGAAATAATGGTTGGGTTTTTGATGGGGTTGGACTTTAGAGAGAGAAAATATATGGGTCTTTGAACTTGAAGAATGGGAGATTATTATATAGAAAAATTAATAAAAATGGAGAAAAGAATGGTCAATGTTAGTAAGCTAAACCCCACAAAGACTCACTATTATTGTTCCACACGGTGGTTCTTCGAAACTCACCAGGTAAAATATAATTTATATACAACCTACTCGTACTAGTATGATTTTTATACAACCTACTCCGTATTATCCATTTGTCTTCTTTCTTTTTAATTTTTTTTTTACAACGGTCCAATAATAAAACTAGTTCCCAACTAACTCAAAACAACAACGAGAAAATTTAAACCTCTTAACCAAACTAATACAAGAACTAAAAAGGGGATTGGGTTACAGACGCTATGAATTGCTTGGCAATACAAATAAGGGGGTTGAGATAGTACTGTCAAAGCGGTTTGACAGTTCGGTTTCGGTTCGGTTTGAAATCGGGTCGGTTTGAAATCGGTTCAAATGTTTTATGGGTCGGTTTCAGTTCGGTTTAAATAATTATCGGTTCGATTCGGTTTCGATTTATTCGAACCACGGTTTAAATTCGGTTCGGGTTGTAAACAGTTCGGGTAGTAAACGGTTCGGTGCAGACGGGTTGCGGTTTGTTAACAGTTCGGTGTAAACGGTTTTTATCCCGGTTTAAATTCGGTTCGGGATGTAAACGGTTCGGGTAGTGAACGGTTCGGTGCAGACGAGTTGCGGTTTGTTAACGGTTCGGTGTAAACGGTTTTTATCCCGGTTCAAACAGTTTTGGGTTAGAAACGGTTCGGTTCTTTTTTGGTTCAGTTTTATTTTAGTTTGGTTTATAACTGGTTCGGTTCATTAACGGGTTCGGTTCTTAATTAGTCAACAAGACTCGTTTATCATTATATATTTGCATAAAGTTATATATGAAGATATTACAAAGTAGTTTGATTTGTATAATGAAAGAAAACATTAATGAATAAGAAGGTAATATTGATTCTTTCAATCGATTATACATATACATAACATCTAACCATTTCATATTCTCATAGTTAAATATTTATTAGTATAAAGGGATGAGAATCATAAGATTATTATATTTTTGTATATCCTTTACTGGTTTACCCCTGAGGCTTAAGTCATTAATTAGTAATTAGTAATTACTTAATTAGACTAACAAGTTAATAAGAAAGAGTAACTTTTAACTTGAGTCTAATAGATCAAATACTGAAATGCTATTAGTATATTACCGAGTAGGATGGTCTAGTACATTGTTAATTAATCTGTTTTGCAACTATGCTAAATTGACAATTGCTCATATAGTCATATTAGACAATCACTCATGTAGTCATATCTAATTAAGTAATTTGTATTTATGTACTAATCTACTAGTCAATTCTATCATTTAAAAGTTTACACGATTACAAGTGTATTGCTTACAGACATAGCTAAACTGATATAAATATAATCATATAACAAATCCGTAGTACTTCTAACTCTCTAATATATGACGTCATTATATTATTATACGGTATTCAATTTTTTATTAATCGCAACGCTAGACATTTACATGCTAACCGATTCACATTTTATAATTTAAATAACTTAATAAGTTAATGTGTGTGTTAAAAAAAAATATATATAAAAGCTGATATTATGAAGGTATATATCGTTTTATCGGGATTCGAGAAATGTAATTAATTTATAAGCGGTTTGTAAACGGTTCGATTTATAAGTGGTTCGGTCCATAAACGGTTCGGTTTATAAACGGTTCGGTGCAAACGGGTTGCGGTTTGTAAACGGTTCGGTGTAAACGGTTTTTATGCCAGTTCAAACGGTTTCGGGTTAGAAACGGTTCGGTTCATTTTCGGTTCGGTTTCCTTTCAGTTCGGTTTAGATTTGGTTCGGTTCTTAAACGGTTTAACGTTTACTCGGATCGGTTCGGTTTCGGTTTTACTAACATGCGGTTCGGGTCGATTTTCGGTTTCATAAAATCGGTTTTTAATAGGTTCGGTTCTCATTCGGATCGGTTGAAACAGTTCGGTTTCACCAGTTCGGTTCGGTTTTTGACAGTGCTAGGTTGAGAAAATCCATCGCCAGAAACAGCCCTAAGCTGCTCCACAAACTTGTTTCCTTGCGTTTCTTGACCCTGCAAAAACGATTAGTGTACCTTTTACTTTTCTTGTTCTTCACCCTTGACATGGTTGACCTTCCATTTTTTTCTCAACGTGGCGGAGAACATGAAAGTGGTGAGCAGTGGAGAGGACTGCACATGGCTGGATTCAACAATCATGGGGTCTTTGTCGTTAGAACCTACGGATTCCACTTCATCGAAATCAGTCTTAGAATAAATGATAGAATTTTGGGTGTGCAGGATGAAATGACACATTAATATATAAGAAAATTTTGATTTTTAACACCACAAAAAAGTATGAAATTGGTTTTTAATACTACAGAAAACCTCAAAATTTTGATTTTACTACCACTTAATGGATTTTTGGATGAAATCCTTTAGGGGGCCCCATAAAGTACATGTGTCGCAATCATATTGGCTAGAAAAAATAAAAAATAAAATAAAAAACCCTAAAACTAAAACAGCCACCCAGCCAACCAACATCGACACCCCATCACCACCAGCACCTTGTTCCAAACGCCACCTGCGCAGCCCCCGTCCTTGACCTTACCTCTGGCGCACCCCCTCCCCAGATCGACCACCGCAAACAACCCCCCTTCCTTTCCCACAGCCCGACCAACACTCCTTAAACCCTCCAAAACGGCCGCCCATGTAATACCCCGTATTTTTGAAAAGTATTTTCTAATTAATTAATTAATTACTTCCTTTGTTTTTTTTATTTGACCTGTTTCTTTTATCACGCTTGTTGATGCAAAACTTTAACGATCAATAACTTTAATTCTCCATAAGTAAAAATTATAAAGGTTATAAGTTATGATAGTACTTATTGAGATGAATTCAAAAAGGTCTCACATGAATATATTTTCCTTACATATTATTCACAAAAGACGGTCAAAAGAGGGGTAGTGAATAGTGTGAAAGTCAAAGCGGGTCAAGTAAAAAAGAACGGAGGAAGTAATATTTTCTAATAAAAAGAGTATTTTAGTAAAATTTATTTTATTATTTGAATTTTGGCGCTAAAAACATTTTCAAAACTCAATTATTATTTTGGATTTTGGATAAGATTTATTATCCATTTATTTAATTTTAAAAATCGGATTATATATATATATATATATATATATATATATATATATATATATATATATATATATATATATATATATATATATATATATAATGGGTGAGCACATCCGATCCGAAATTGGATTTCGGATCGGCTATCCGTTTCCGAAAAATCAGATATTTGATATCCGTATCCGATCCGAAATTTTTAGATATCCGAAATTTTCGGATCGGATAGTTCGGATATCCAATATCCGACCCATCTAATAATATGGGTTTTTATCCAAAATTTAAAAAAAAAGAAAAATTTAAAAAACAAAACCAAAAAAAAAGCCAGCCTATCCCATCCCCACCCACGACAACGCCACCACCACCACCACCACATTTCCCTATTTTCCGACAGCCCCCTTCCCATCCCCCATCCTCCGGCAGCCCTTCTCCTCATCCCCCACACTGGAATCCCCCCTTCCCCACCACATACTCAGCGAAATCAAACCCCCCTTCCCCGAATCACCCTTCGATTCCCACCCCTAGCCCCGAAAACCACCCTCTCCCTTCCCCTCCCATACCCCCATCCCTGCTGCCGTCGCAAACCCATCCAACATAATTTTGACTTTTCTGCTTTTGTCCATTATAGCAGCATCGTCTTCAATTTCGACCACATTCCCCAATTTTGACGCAATAGCTTCAATCCGCGTGTTTGTTCGACAATTGAAGGGTAGGTTTTCGAACCGGACCCAGAATGGAGCAAAGTTCAGTTTCACCTCCGATGGTTGTTCATCTCCGTTGATTTGAATTGAGAATCAAAAGATTCTGCTCGAAACACCATGGCTTCCAATTTTCAAATGATTATTTTACCTTTCAATCCTCACGATTGCACCATTGTACGTTAGTTTAAACGCCTCTGAGATCTGAGATCTGAGATGAGATCATGAGAGAGGAGGGAAATTTGAGATGAGATCATGAGAGAGGAGGGAGGAGGGAGATCTGAGAATCTGAGATAAGAGAGGAGGGAGAAGGGAGAAACCGAGAAAACAGAGGAGAAAGAGAAAGAGGCAGCTTAAGACTTAGGGTTATCCGAATTTGGAGATCTGAGAATCTGAGATGAGAGAGGAGAGAGAAACCGAGAAAACAGAGGAGAAAGAGAAAGAGGCAGATTAGGACTTAGGGTTATCCGAATTTTTGTAAAATAATTTTTTTTTTCAGTAAAAAAGTGTTTTTTTTTTTCGGATTTCGGATCGGGTAATATCTGACTTTTTTTCGGATATTTAGATATCTGAAATCGAAATTTTCAATATCCGATATCCGATCCGATATCCAAAATTTTCGGATCGGATATCCAACTGAAATTGTTTTCGGATCGGTTATCCTAAATATTTGGATCGGAATTTCGGATTTTCGCATTATCATATAGTTTTGCTCAGCCCTATATATATATATAGGATCATATGAGACCACCCCCCTTATGTGAGAACCCTATTATATGTGAGGACATATTACAATCGTTGGATCAATTGCATTCAATGGCTACAATTTACCCCAATCAAATGTAATTTCAAATACAATTTTCCAGCGTTTTCTTTCTCCTCCATTCGACGCGCCATTTTTCTCTCTCCCCCTTCAATTTCTCTGCTCCCTTCTTACCGCTCTCTTCCTTTGCTTTGATTCTTCATCAATTCTGCTTCTTACTTCATTGATTCTTTGTCAAGGTAATTTTCGTTGATTTTAGTTTCATTTTTCGTTAATTAAAGTTTGATTTTCGTTGATTGTAGTTTGATTACTTATGGTTTTTGTCAATTTTTTTTTGCGATTTTTGGCGATTTTTGGTTCAATTTCCGTTCGATTTTTTTCCTAGCGAAATCTATTCGATTTCTATTTGAGTACTTATTA